GTAATCTTTGAACTTGCTTTGAATTGTTAAAAGTTTGCAAAAAAGAAAAAGAAAAGTGGAGTACAATAAAGTGAATTAGTTAAAACTTATGCTTAATCTCACATAATATAGGGTTAAAATTTGCAATATCTATTTTTTATACTCTATGTTTTAACCCGAAACCCTCTTAAAAAAAATCATGCCTTTAAAATATAATATACAAAAAAATTACACTCACTTTTGTTAGGGCCTGTTCCAAAAGCCGTTTTCTGGAAATTTTAAAATGTGTACTACTTCCTGTTCTTCCCGCAAATTATAAAAAAAATTTATAAATTCTGATTCTCAAAATTTTTTGATTCCAAGAGTTCTTTCCTGGGATACCTATGAACAATTGTAAATTCATTTTATCGCCACTTTGTTTACCATGCAGGTGGAAGGGAAAACTTATTATATATTATAAAATGATAATTCCATATGTTATATATTATTAATAATATTTTTTAAAAAATAAGGGTGCAGTTTAGACCCTGTCTGGCGTTAGTTTAAACGGGTAGGCTGCATTGGTGGCAAGAGTGTGAATGTGTAAGCGTGCATCCAAGTCTAAAGCCCATAGTAACTCTCAGTTGGTCATTGGTTAAGAGATTATCTAAGGTTTGGCTTGGAAATGCTTCGAGCCATTCATGCCCGCCGTATTTATCATTGTTTTGTAATAGTTATATATCACTGATTTCGGTAGGATTAAGACAATTTTGTATTTTTTTTATTAGGGTTTCGATGATAGATTTGTTAGAGATTTCGGAATGTACAACCGACTGCGGTTAGGAGATTCCATCTTTCTATTGATCAACATGAGAAGTTATGAATGAGATCGCAGAATTGAGCGATAGGCGATTTGATACAAATAGAGAAAGGGGTAGATAAATATAACGCCACTAGAAATTTGAAAATAATAGATAAATATTGCGCCAAAGAAACACTTGAAATAAAAATTAATTTATAAAATAACTTAGTAAATGAATGTGATAAATATATATAAATTAAATATATATTTAAAAAGAAAAGAGAAGGAATAAATATTAAAAAATATAAATTTATATAATCAAATAATATTTTTGAAAAATATATCTTGCATCTGCATTTTTGGCCTGCCCCTGTGAACATTTATAAGCAGTTTATTTTGAATTTTAAGCCTAATTATTTTATTATTATTATAAAATTATTATTGATTAAAAAATGCTTTGTTAGTCAAAATATTATTAAATTTATTTCAAAAAATATATATTTTTTTGTGAAAATTATGTTATCAATCCTTATTTGGAGTAAGAGTGCTTGATACGATTACAAATGTTGTAGGACCTTCAACAAATTTAGTAGTTGGTGTTACAATGATGGTAGCTGGAGCTATGGTTACGAGAAATGCTATCCCCACTCCTTACCTAGGCGTTTTCACTATTGAAAGGGTCACTTTTTCGGATAGTGCTACTCAAGATCTGGGTGTCTGTCTAGTGGTAAAAATAAAGAGGATATTTAATCAAAATTTTAAATAATGTTTTATATATATATATATATATATATGTATTATTTTTTGTAACTTATTTGATTCTTTTTATAATTTACAGACATTTTTTTTAAAGTCAACTGCCAGAGGTTGTTGGGGCACAAATTTTCTAGACAATCGCGCTTGTTACTTAGAAAGCAGAAAATAAAATAGAATAATACAATTTGTCAATCGTTACATCGGAATCGTTTAAATTATTAAGGATTATTTCTATTATACCAATCATCCATTACTTTAACTTTTATATCGTAAGCAATTAAAATTTTTAAAGCATTTTATTTTATAATTTCTCTCTTTCTTACACCTTTAAATGTATCACTATCGAACTTAAAAAAGACCAAATTTTATAAAAAAAAGTTTACCATTTTATTCAGATAGTGTTGATAAATGGCTTGATTTGAGGCGATTTTTTAAAAACAGCTAACTCAATATTTTAGCCAGAAAAATATTATCTAAGTGCCAACTATGAGCAAAATCTTCAAAATTGCCTAATATTTATCTGGATATATCATTGAGTTAGCCGTTTTTTAAAATCGGCTCATATCGAGCCTTTTAACAACACCACATTCAAATATACTAATTGAGGTAATTAAAATTAAGAGAATTAAAGCATATATCTTTTTGAAAGTATCATTTATTCTTATCACAATTATACTCGCAAATAAAAAAAATATATTTTATTTTGCATTTATTAATTTTATTTGTATAGTAGCTTATATAATAGGTTATCAAAAATGTAATAGCATATAATTAATTTTTTTTTCTAAGTTAAAATTAATATAAAATTTCTGTTATTTTTTTTTGAAATTTACATTATAATATATTATAAATCAAATCTAAAGATAAGCGTGGAAAAGTCTTGTCCTGATAATTGTTATGGTCTCTCTATTAGTAGGTATTGGGGGAAAATAGCTTGTAGAATAGTAATTATAAGGATTTAGCTCAGTTCAAATATTAGGATTTAAATTAAGAATTAAACCTGCAAAATGGTATATTTATTGAATTCCAATGCAAAATTAATTGTATGTAAAACTGATATGTTTTTATAATAAGATCTCTTTTTATATCAAAAGTAAATCAATTATGTATATAAAATATAGCTGCAAACTCATGTTTTTAAAATTAATATAAATTGATTAGTTAAATACAAGTAATAATAAAAAGAAATGGTAATAAAATAATATATTGTTACTAATCGGTAAAAATAATCTAAACAAAATATTTATAATGCAATACATATTATATTTAAGATTTCAATTTAAAAATAAAACCACACTGATTACAACAATAAAGAAGAATTTTTATTGGATAAGATTTTCAATTTTCTTATACGATTTTTTAAAAATATTTTTAATTTTATCTAAATTAGGTTAAGTTGAGTGTTTTAATGTTTGAGAATACAGTTTTAAATTTTAACAACCAAATAATAAACAGACACAACATTTTGGTTAAAATTTTATCCGGAATGTTTATTATAGGGAATTAATCTTATATTACAAGGGGGAAAACTAGTACTAATGTTGTGGTTTGGAGTTGATATGATATTGATAGTATCTTAAGTTATATTCAAGAAATTTTATTGTGGTTTAAACTAACTAACTTTAAAAATAGAAATAAAAATCTTATAATGATGTGGAATATCAAGTCACAATAACGACTTAAACAATGATATATATAAACATTAAATTATAAATTAAAAAAATAAAATAAAATATTTTTTTTACTATAATATAACATCTTATTAAGCAAAATTTTATCAAGAATTCACATTCGCATGCTATTCAGCGAAGATCCATATCGAAGAATATTTTATATCAGAACTTTTACCGCATCTCTTTAGATACATAAAGAGCAAAATTTTCTATCGCCAATTTATAATAGCTAAAAAAATTTTTATAGAGAATAGATAAACCCAATCATTATATAATTTATATAGCAAATTTATTAATGCGAAGTAAATATCGGGGGAAAAAAAAGTGAAAATAATCCCGATTCAATTTATCCTTTAAACATAATAAAAGTTTTCTGGGCATCCGTTTTATATCTTGAATATTAAGAATATTACGGATATACAGTAATTTTTCTGAAATTTGAGTATTCTCAAAGGAGTGTTTTCAGTTTTAATTCTGAACGATTAAATAGGTTAATTTTAAAATAATAGGAACCCGAAAAAACTGATGGTAGATATCGAAAGTTTATATAATATGAAGCATTTTAAGAAAAATAAAATGTAGTGGTCAAACTATGTAAATGAATTATTTTTTAAAATGCTCAGATAAAAAAAAAATAGCCATTTTATAAACAGAAATCGAGAATACGAGAAGTGAATTATTATTTTTCCAGCATAATTCAAATAAAAATTCATATAACCCAAACCATTGCAATTGTACTGAAAATCCTCGAATCTAAATTTGGTAGTGAATATTTTAATAAAACTTGATGGAAATGATTAGTTTTGTTAAACGGCTTGTTTTGAGCCGATTTTTAAAAACGGCTAACTCAATATTTTAGCCAGAAAGATATCGTCTAAGCCTCGAGATTTCGCTATTAGATGTTTAGACCTTCAGGCCACCTATGAGCAAAATCTTCAGGTTTGTATAATATTCATCTAGATAAAATATTGAGTTAGCCGTTTTTAAAGGCTCAAATCGAGCTGTTTAACAACACTTTTCTATAATTATTTCAAGGTTGGGGAAAAAAAAATTTACTTAATTTTTTTTTTATAATTAACTTGATACCGTATAACATTTGAGAGGTGGATATTTAAAAAAAGGAAAATTTTTTTAGATTTAGATTTATTTAAAGCAGAAATCTATAGATCAGGGCCCAAAAAAATGATAAGATTTTTAAAAATCGAAACAAATCTTAAATAACATATTAAATGTTAACTTATGAGGATATTTTGCCTAATATTACAGAAACTGGGCCTCTAGCAGGTATTTTAAGTTTTTCAGGGGTATGAGAGCGTTCGCGTATTCTATAATAATTTTTTTTGTATCTTAAATATCGCTAAAACTGGGTTCGGGGTAAGACCATAACGTTATACTTGGGGTCGATTTTTGATCCAAAAATCAATTGAGATTCGAAGTTTATAGTTTTAATCTTATTTTAAAATGAATTACAAACTCTCAATTTCTCAAGCGTTAGAAATTTTCTAATAATAAATAATTCTATAGTGATAATTCTACGATTTCTTTTATTTCATAAATATATATATACGATATCACTATAATAATAATGTCACAATGATACAATTCTAAAAATTTTCAAAAAAAATTATAAACAATTTAAAATCTTACCTAATAAAAATTATTTTTATATTGTTGTAATAGTGGTAGTTTTTAAAAAATTGAAATCACAAATATAATATGTATTGTATTATAAATATTTTGTTTAGAGAGTTGATTTATAATATATTGAATGATATATAAAATTTTTTTTTGCGAGTATAATTGTGATAAGATAAATGATAATATCGAAAAAATGTATTATGCCTTAATAATTCTCTTAATTTTAATTACCTCAATTCAATTCGATAATTTAAATAAAAAAATTTTCTTATAAGAAGGGGAATTTAAGAGATAAAATTTGTCATTTCTATTTTTGATAATTATACATTTAAAGGTTGTAAGAGAGAGAAATTATAAAAAAAGCGTGTAGAGAAAATTAAAATTTAAAAAATGTAAAAGTTGAAATAATGATTGGTATAATATAAAGTAATCATTAAAAATTCAAACATTTTCATTTATGTAACGATTGACAAACGATATTTTTTCAAAAATTTTTTTACTAAAATAAAATATTATCTATTTTATTTTCTGTTTTCTAAGGATCATATCCAATTGAGAGAAAAACTTTTGCTCCAACACTACTACCGCTGGCAGTTAACTTTAAAAAAATGAAGATTAGCAAATTGAGAGAATCAGATAAGTCCAAGAAAATAATACATTATTTATCTAAAAAAATGGTTAAAATTCTGACAAATATCTTTTTTTTACCATTAGACAGGCACCCAAGCCTGGATCGGCACCTAGCAAAAAATTGACGCTTTCAACAGTGAAAACGCCTTTGTAAGGAGCGGTACCTTATTTCTCGTAACCGTCGTTCCAGCAATCGGTGTGTTCATGCCAACTACTAAATTTGTTGAACCCGTTATCACACCTGTCATCATATCAAGTGTTCCTACAGCAACTAAGGATTGATAACATAATTATGTGACAAAAAATATATATATTATTTTGCAATAGATTTTTAAAATATTTTTAACTTATCAAGGCTTTTTTTTTAAAAAAAATCAATACATAAAAGTTTTATTCCCCATTAAAATTAAACGGATAACTTAAGGCTGAGAGCCGCGTTAAAGAGGACACAAAGATATGTTTCCAAAATATCAAATTCATTATAGCAAATATAGCTAAGTTAATTTAACATTAACTAATACAAATCCAGTTATACAAAAATTAAAATTAGATATTGTATACATTCAATAAAAATTAGAAACCTGAGTTTCTCAAATGATTTTCGTAACCCATATTATCGGTTTTACGAGATAAAAAAAATAGAAAAAAATGTATTAATTCCTTTCTAAGAATTATAATTAATATATTTTTTTATTACTATTGCTAAAGTAGGGAGTGGCAGAAACATTTGATGCTAATCCTTGGACAACTAAAAAAGTGGCAAAGCAGTCTGGCGGCACAAGTTGTGAATGTTTGAGACAGGGACCATTTATCGTTCCTGATACTAAAATTTTATTTTATTTATTTTTTTTTTTACAAAAAGAAATGTTAAGAGTATTTTTATGGTAAAATTGTAAATAGAGGGAACAAATATTAGGGTTATGCTAAATTATAGAGTTTTGTTAAAAATCACTTATATAATTAAATTTAAAAAAAAACGATCGTAATTTTGTTTTTTAATATATATATATTTATATACATTATAATTTAGAGGGTTCATCATTAAAAAAATAAAATAAACTTTTTTTCTTTCTTTCTTTCTTTCTTTCTTTCTTTCTTTCTTTCTTTCTTTCTTTCTTTCTTTCTTTCTTTCTTTCTTTCTTTCTTTCTTTCTTTCTTTCTTTCTTTCTTTCTTTCTTTCTTTCTTTCTTTCTTTCTTTCTTTCTTTCTTTCTTTCTTTCTTTCTTTCTTTCTTTCTTTCTTTCTATGTAACATTTGAATGACATATATTTAATTTGTTTTTTTTTCTTCTACTACCTCTCGTGGAATATGAGTAGGTGAAGTTGCGAAGGACGCAATTCGGAGGTATCTCTAATGAACAAAAACATGTGACTCCTGTTTCTATACAATTATATTATAGTAGAATATCAGTGAACTATTGATTCAGATAATTATTATATAAAAATATGTATAATGAAATATTCCGATAATAATAAAAAACAACTTGTTTTTTTCTAAAGAATAAATAAATTTCTTTTCTTCTTAAATGTAATTTTGTTTTTTATTTTAAGCTTAAGGATTTACTAATAATTCATAAAAGAAAAGTAAACACTTACCAACATGTTGTACGAAGAAAGGTGCTACCAATATCAATACCCATACGGATAAGAATATATTTTTCGATGGATATTTCATTATTTCATATTTTATTTATTTTTAATTGTAACTTTAAAAAAAAAAGGAGCAAAATATGGAATGTAATTAATTTATTTTAATGGAAATTGGGAATATTTATTTTTCAAATTTAAATGGATGGTTTTGTGATATTGAAGAAGGTATTTATAATAGTTTCTTAATATAATAACCTTGGAAGAAAAAAGTTTCAAATTTCATAGAAATTTTACACAAATTTTTTTTTATAAATTTAACCAAATTTAAAAATAATAAATATTTTTTTCAAGGTAATCTAACCATTATATGTAGAATTTATTAATAACACATTTAAAAAAATAAAATAACCTTTATAAATTATTGTCGTTTTTATATTCTTGCATTATTTTTATATCATTTTAAGTCAGTATCTAGTCAGATTTTCTGGTCGTGTGTTGTGTATTTTTAACGCAAATTCTTTTGGGGTACTCTCCCATTAAACATTTTTAGCCATAAATGGATGGTTGAAACCTCTAAAGTTTTGATTGTAAAACAACAAAACAAATTATACGTGGTTTTAAAAGAGTTGTATTCATGCTTTTTAAATTTATTAGTAAAAGGGGTGAAAAAATATCAAAGTCCATATATATAATAATTATTTAAAAAATTTGGGATCTCTATTACCTGAACCGATTATTTTAGAGCATTCTTTCAAAACAAAATTTTGTCTTAAGAGGAAATGTATAGTGTTAAATTCCCAAAATTCTGTTATATATGGTATTACTCTAAGGTCTTAAGATTAGACCAAGAGTTTTTAAGCTTTAATTCTGGGCAAAATAGTTTACTTATTATGTTTATAAGCTAAAATCTTCATTTATCCGTTTAATTTTTTAAATTGAATGAAATCTAAGTTTTAAATAATACTAATGTGTAAATTAGTGATGCATCGTGCCTAATTTTTCAATCCCAGAACCCGAAATTTTTTTTTTTTTAAATTTGCCGGCTCGGACCGAATTTATTTAAATATAGAAAATTAATTTTTATAATTACTCAAAATAAAAGATATTATGTTATATGGCGTCTAGTCCATAAATAAAATTAAATATTTTTATTTTTACATTAAAAATTTAACACAAAATTGATGAATTTAGACATATTAAAAATAATTTCCGAGGCACGATCCGACATGGCCCGAATTTTTTTAAAGAATATTAGGCCAGATCGAACCCGATTTTTTTTTTAAAAAAATTGGCCAGGCCCGGTCCGAAGCTTGTTAGAGCCACGTACAGGCCAGGCCTACTTTTGCAGTTCTCCTAGCGTAAATAGAGAGATAATAAGGATAAACTATTATTTATTTTATGACCTTAGTTCTTAAGGAATAAGTATTTTATGGCGTAAAAGTGAGGGTGGGGAGTGTAAAGATGCTTTTTATTGAAATCCCATGGTCACGTAAATAGATGATAGTTTTATTTTATAGGCCATTACCCCTATCTTTCCAATCGAAAATAGATTTTAATTTTTTTAATAAATATTGTTCGAATGATAAAATTTCCTTATTTAAGCCAAGTCGACTATAAAGGAAAGATATCTACCAATAAGGTTTGATAAATTGATCAACCCATATAAAAACCAAATTTTCTATCATTGTTGAGACATGCATTCAGGTGCAACATACTAAAACGTATAGTTAATACTATTTATAACTTAACAAATAGCTCAATTTAATATTTTTATTTGATAGGAAATGACGATGATAAACTAAAATATACACACTAAAAAAATGCTATTGTGGAATGGAGGTGGAAGGGGGGGGGGGTGTTGACTTTCTAACCTTTCTTATATTTATAATGCAACATACTAAAACGTATACGCAAACTTAAAAAAAAACTTCAATTTAATATTTTTTTACTTAGTAAAATAAAAACAGATTAAAAAATACCATTTGGGGGAGGAAGATAAGAGTGCTTACTTTCTAACCTTCCTTATCGATCCATGAGTATTCTGTTTTTTAGCCAAAGTTTATATTCCACCAAAAAAATCCATAGATAAGAAATAACAAAAAAAAATGTATACGAAGATATTTCGTGTTAATTCAAAAGAAACCGCTATAAGGATATCAAGACATTTAATGAAATAATTAAGATAGTCACAAAATGACCCGCCTATTCCTCCCTCCTTTACATTTAGATTCGATTCATTTATAATGTCTTTATCTTATTTGTTTAGGGCAAATCAAAATTTTCGACAAATTTATTGTCAAAAACATTTTTAAAAGTCTTATTATTTTTACCAAAGCTAGGCTTATCATTATATTTAATAATATACTTTTCAAAGATAAATTTATATTTCTGTTATGTTAGTAAAACTATATATTTCAAAATATTTATATTATTTCAGTTTCGAGCTCCCAATTTATTTTTTTAAAAAATGACTAATCTAGTTTTTGTTATTTTATGAATTTATTTTTAAAGCTTAGTTAAATTGACAAATTTATAGCGCCTTCCCTATTCATTTTCGTCTAAATACTGAATTCACAGTTTTGCGAATAAAAGGCGAAGTTATACAAAAGCGAAAGTAAAATTATTACATTCATATCATATCTTTGGTGGACTAAGGTCGCCAACAATCTTAACATGGCCCCGATAGGCCATGGCGTATTTATGGATAATAAAGAATATATAAAAAAATTTTTAATACTAATTAAATTTTTATTTTCAAATTTTCAAATTTTAGTTAATTAGGATACCCCCGGGTTTTATGAAGAATTTTTTTTTATATATATAGATACAAATCGGTTATTTTCAGCTTATATTTTAATTTTTAATTAATATAATTAAAATTTAAAAAATCAATTATATTGATAATCATTCTTAAGAGTCAAAAATTAGGAATATTTATTTATTAATTTAATTATATTACAGATATCTGCTGTTCTGCATACCTATCTGATTTTAAAAAACTACGCGGATAAAACCAAACTTATGTGAGTTATTATTATTATAGATATATGAGGTTTTTTTTAGTAATTATTGTAAGAAACTTACCATTTTGATTCAAATTCAATTCTAGTTTAGTAAAAAATTTTTGTGCTAAGTTTAATTCTAATTGCATGATATTATTTTAGTAATTATAAATTAAGCGAAAAATTAGTTCGAGTTCATTATAGCTTGATATATTTTTTATCATAAAAAGTGTGGCTTCTAACAGATTGATATTTTAATATTCACTTGATATCAAGCTATAAATTATATTAGTGGATAGTTTAGGGCTATGCTACCAAGATAAGGGTAAGTGTTTATATAAGATTATGAGAAACTCAGTAATATTAGAAACCAGACACAAGATTCAGATCAAATCTTAACGCTAAGATCATAAACAGTATTAGTGGTTAGATTATGATTTTGCTACCAAGATAAGGGTTAGTTTTTATATTAGAAGAGGATAAATACTCTTTTTATTAGACAACGCCCACACATTTGGTAGTATCTAAAAGATACCTAAGGCTACTGATTAGATGCTTATTTGCCAATAAGTTTCCATTAATTTATATAAACTACGTGGTTCACGTTAAGGAATGATCTTAATCTTGTTATCATATTAGGGCTTAGAAGGCATGCAACAGAGATAAGCGTTTATATTAGAATATGAGAAATAGTATATTTCATTAACCACCGAACTCATTACATTTGGTAAAAACTAAAAGATACTTAATGATTGCTTAGTGCAGGTTAAGTCACCAAAATTTTGAATTGCGTTAGTGGTTAGTTTATTGTTATGCCACAAAGGGTTATATTAGATTATGATAAATACTATACTTTATAAGGCACAATAACTAAAAATCAATCCTTATCACAATTCCATTCAATGAAAAGAATTGTAAATATTTTACATCTCAACATGTATAAACACATAAAAGAATCTTATGAAAGAAATGGAATTGAAAATCTTTAAATAAATATAGATATTAATTTTTGGAAAATGAAATATAAAGCTCTTATAAAGATATTATTAGCCTATATATTTTTTTGGACCAAATAAATGATATAATTATTAAAAGTTAATTAATAAATCCATATTTATATTTAAAATGACAACATATACTATACTAATCTTATACATGCAATAAAAATTAATTATCATATATTTTATTTTTTTTTACATTTAGTACTTATTTAAAAATTTTTGTTTTAACATGATCTATATAACAGATAATGTATATAAGAACGTATAAATAAAATCTATATTAAAATGGGACAAAATGTACGAAAAATTTAAAAAATAACAATGAAGACCGGGGATGGTATAAAGCGAAGGAATAAAAATAGGAAGTAGAAAGGTCTATGATAGCTCTTTGACTAGTAGACTACCATTGAAGCTTATTGGACTTAAGTATTGCTATGGCAAGCCTTTGTCGAAGAAAAAAACCCCCTCGAGGTTCTTTTGAATGTTTGCTGATTTGATATCCTAAATTTTTAAAAAAAAGGTAAGATAAGTTTGCCGAAGGTGGCAGGTGTGGTTAAAATGATTGGAATGAAACAATGGTCATTAGTAATTTCTGTGTATTTCGAGGTTTTAAGTTGTTTCTTCTGGTCGAGATGGGGCAAGGGGGTCAATACATGAATAGTCTTATACCAACAATTGGCCTCTCCTCCACGGAATTTGAGTGATCCCTTCAGGTCATTTACCGTCAGATCTAAAAAGACCCTGGGGTTATAGTATGGATGAGA